TTTTAAATACAACTTAATTATTTATTTAATTACTAAAAATTACAAATATTTCTAATAACTTTATTTTTTTTATCTATTTCATATACTTTCGGAAAAAATATTATTTTTTTAATAATGTAATAAAAATATATTCAACAAGTATATATTAATTCGTTTAATACGACTTATTTTTAAAATTAATTAATATGCATTTAACATATTTGTCATAACTTTATTTTTTATTTATTCAAAATAATTTCTCAAAAATGATATATTTTTTTCTTAATTAATATTATAATTACTTATCTATTTAACTAAATGAACAACTAAATATATAATCTTAATATTTAATCAACAAAATAACAATATATTACAATTTAATTAATATTTAATTTATTGATTAATTTTGTACTTACCTAACGCTTTAACTTAATGAACTAGTAATAAATAAACTTACTAATGTTTTCAATAAATTTTTAATAACTTAAGTAAATTAACAATTAGTAGCTACACTAATAACAATAACAATAACAATTTCAATAACAACATAAAATAAAATATAACAATTATATTTTCTAACTAAAAAAATTAACAATAAATTAAAGTAAGTAAATTCACAATTAACAATCAAATTAATTCAATCAACAACTAAAAATAAAAATAACAGAAAATTTAAAAATTAACAATAATATTCAATTAATCAATAATTAACAACAACATTAACATAAAAATTAATAATTAATATTAAATTAACAATTAAACATTTCAATTAACTATCATAATTTACACTAAAATAACACATCAAATAAATTTTAATTAAATAATCAAGTTAAAAAAACACATGCAATAAACAATCAATTCAATAATTAAACTAACAATAATAAGTAATTAATCAAAAAATTAAAAAAAAAATCAAATTATTTGACTTAAATAAATAACTGAAAAAATTAATAATTCAAATGAGGGATTAGATTTAGGTGGACTTGTCACCAAGAGAAGGATGAAAGGGGCGACTACCGCCGATTAAAAAACCTCGTCGGAGTATGGTCGTCGAAAAACGACAACTTGAATGACAGAGACAACGATTGAAAGAAAGAGGAAAAGAGGGAGATTTTTAGGAAACAATAGCTTTTAGGAAAGACGGGAGGAAAAGGCGGATTAAGTCGCTGTTGGAGGAGAAGAAGAAAGGAGAAAAAGAGAGTTTCGGATTTTCGTTCGACTGGAACTTATAAATAGGTAAAGTTTTAGCGACGGTCCGAGCCCGTTGCTAATCCGTCACTACCCATAAATTTAAAATTAAATTTGACCGTTTCCCACCAACGTTTTACTTTTAGACCGTCGCTAATGTTCGGTTTGCAACGGTTATTTTTGCAACTCGTTGCAAACACATATAATTTATTATGTTACCAACGGTTTGGACCGTCGCTAAACCAAATATTTTTGCAACGGTTTAAGGATATGAAACCGTTGCTAATGCGGGGTCTGTTTCAGCCCGACCCCATTTGGTAACGGTTTAAGGATATCAAATCGTTGCTAATCCGAGGTCCGTTTAGCCATATGTTGCATTGTGGTAACGGTTTAGCGACGGTCCAAACCGTCGCTAAATGTGTATTTTTTTGCTACGGTTTTTTTGTATAAAACCGTTGCAAAAATATTAAATAATATTTAGTAACGGTTTAGCAACGGTTATGAACGTCGCTAAACCCAATTAACTCTTTAGTAACGGGTTATCGACGGTATAGACCGTTGCTAAATTTGCAACGATTAATAATGTATTAAAACCGTCGCTAAAACGGTTAACCTCTCAAATTAGCAATGGATTGGTAGGCCGTTGCTAAAAAACGATCGCAAATTAAAACATTTGTAATCATTTTTTAGATCGTTGCTAAAATCAGTAAAACCGTTGCTAATTTTAGTCTTTAGCAACGATTTTTTGATCGTCGCTAAAAAATGTTTTTCTTATAAGAGTAAAAATTATATTCATATTTTTTAATTTTCAAACAAGTTTTTATATCAATTATTGTTTTTTTTTTTTTGTATAACCTTATGGAAAAGATATTAAGGTTTTTTTTTCAAAAAAAATTAGATTCAATTTTCTATTTAGATTACTATCGATTCTTATTCAAGAATCAATGTACATACAATAACAAATCATGTTTTTTTTAATTGATAATTTATGAAAAACACGAGGAATAATCAATTAAATATAATTTTGTTATTAAAAATTTATTACATTATATTTTTAAAAAAATTTTACTTTTGATTTAATATATTTATTAAATTCGTAATATAAAGTGAAGTATCAAATTGAAATGATTTGGTTGTGGTTGAACAGCAGAACCAGCAGCACAGCGCAGAGCAAACTAGTAAAAGGAAAATCAAAAGATTCGCCACATCATAGTCATTAGAAATGGTGGCCGTGCCTCATAGGTAAAGGCACACTTCGTTGCTTTTGTTGAGGGAAATCTTCTTTTGCAATTTGAATGGAAGGGGCTATAACACATTGAAGAAAAAAGACGTCTTTTTTGGAGTTTGTGTTAAAAAGTATATCAATATCAATAATCAAGAGGGTTAAACCTCGAATGGGTTAATCGTGGATGGTAATATCAAGGAGTAAGGTACAAGACTAAAAACGCAGAGAGGGGGATGTCATCGAGAGAGCATTGGGCTGTCTGTCTCTTCTTTTGGGATTTTCTCGGCAAACAGTAGTGTGGTTTTGCTGCGTCCCATTTGCCAAGCTTCTAATATTTCACTTTTCTTCCCTAGGGTTCCCCTCGTAGTATTTTCCAAAGAAAATAAAGGTTTTAAACTACATAAAAAGATTTAACAGCGAAGGAATAGTGCTAGCTTAAGCATGGAGAATTTTATCATGCAATATAGCAATTTCAATCAACATAAAAAAGTGCAAAATACATGGCTATTTTCAAAACCCAATGGCTATGAAAATTACCAACTTATTAATTGTAAGAAGAGTGAACAAAACAAACAATAACAATAATAAAAGATAATCTTTAAAGTAACTGTCAGTTTATCTGTTGACGTCTAATTGGATCCTCAAATCTTTTCTATCAATGGCTTTCTAAAACATGATTGTTGTGACAGTTTATGAATGTCGAAAAATCTCAAATCACCATCAACTAATGGAGGAACGAACTATATATTATATTTCTATAATCGTAAGAGAGTGTCAATTTTCTTTAAAATGTAATAGCATAGCAAACTCTTTATTGAGAGGAAATATACATCTAACAAGTGGGAGATAAAACTAGATTATTGATGTAAAAAAATGAAATCAAATCTAAAATCATATGGAACTACCTCAAAAATTGTCAAAAGAGAAGAAGAAAAACAAAGAGAGAGTGAAAAGGCTGCCGCCTGCGAATCTTTCACCGGCTGCATGTGGCTTGGATTTTTTATATCAAGGAAAACTAAGAGAGAAGAGAGAGAGAGAGAAGAGGCAAAAAATAAAACAACTGTTGCATCTAAAAAAAGACTGATGATAATTAAATTAAACTTTATTGTTAGTCTGTAAACTAACGTAAAAATGCTAGAATTCAATTACTAAAAAGGCAGTAGTTGTATTACTACTACTAGTCTAGGAAATATCGCCAGGAAGTACGTGCTTGATATTATAAATTTATAAATAAAACTAAAATTGATTTTACTATTTATTCACTGTTTGAAATATTATTTATTTTTACTCATTTCACTATTCACACATATTTAAAAGCATTATTCATTTCACGATGTAATGACATTTTTTTAGTTTTTAAATATTTTGAATTCATTGATAATAAAAGTTTTCCTAAATCTCTTTTTTTAAATATGGTTTTTCAATCTGTAAATTTTTTTTTTTTTTGTTTCGGTCCTTCTTTTTGTTTCATTTTTGTCACTTTGATCCTTTTTTCTCTTATTTTTTTAATAAAAAATTTTAAGGTAAAAAAATATTTAAAAAATATTACAAAATAAATTTTTAGCTGAGAATCCATTAGTTTTAACATTCTTTATATTATTGAATAATTTTTTTATAAAAAATTATGAAAAATATAAAGAATAATTAATCAAATATAAAATTTGATGTATTTTAGTGGACACACAACTATAATAAGAGATATCAAAATAAAATAATTTTTAAAAATAATTTTATGTATTTTATCCGATTCGTAGCGTAATACATGTAATAAATCTAGTTGGCCTTTAAAAGAGAATAAGCATATAGACTGAACTCAACAATTGAAGTGATGACCAAACAACCCTACCCTCAATTTAGTTGTCTAAATAGTCTTGTGGATTTTCTCTCGCTTGCGAAGTTGATGGTTTTGTATTATTTCATGGAAAATCTTCCTTGTGTTGAATGTAACGACGATGGATAAATGGCTGAAGGTTAAATATTGTGAATGACAAGAAGCAAAACGATACGATATGTCCCTTTAGCCAGATTGGTTTCTACAATGCTCATTAGTCATTGCTTGAAAGATTATACTGTTGCATGGTATTAATTTTCGAAACAAATCACACATCACTATCACGGCTTAACAAGGAACAGAGGTTGGAGGAAACTGCAGCGCCCCCACACCAACCACACCCCCACCCATCAAAATATGGCATGCATTTGTCACATGTGAACAAACCGATAAAGAAATCAGTACACAAACATCGTATATGCTTTAAATAACTGAATTAAGAATGAGGTTTGACTTGTTCTAATAAGATCTCATAGAATTTGCTCTGCATTGAATTCTCCTCTTCCTTGATAGGGATATCTCAGTATGGTATTGATTTTTTTCTTTTTTAAAGCCGAATTAAAATGGAACAATGAGGTAATTACAAGCAGTAGAATTCCTGACTATTTACAAACTTCATGCTAGGGGACACCATCTCCTCACCCTTATATACGCTTCTGAAAACATTGCACATAACACTCAAAAAGCAAGCTTGCATGCAAGCTCCATGAACCAGAACTTTAGATGTAATTAAAACAGGAAGACTGGGAATTAGAAAAGAATAGTAGGATCAGGAATATGGTGAGGAAGAGAAAGGCAAGCGAGGGTGTAGAAGAGAAGGAAAGCAATGATGGAAACATGGCTTGGGACCAAATGATGGAGGAGGCTGAATCACTCCATGGAGTTCGGAGAGCTCGAAAACGATACCTTGGGGTGCGGCAGCGGCCATCAGGGCGATGGGTGGCTGAGATTAAAGACACAATCCAAAAGATTAGAGTGTGGTTGGGGACTTATGATACTGCTGAGGAAGCTGCAAGAGCTTATGACGAGGCAGCTTGCTTGCTTCGCGGAGCTAATACTCGAACAAATTTCTGGCCTTGCTCCCCATCTTCAAATTCAAAGCCAGCTCTTCCCCCAAAGATTGTCAACCTTCTGTTACTTAGGCTTAAAGCTAGAAACAATGCCTTGATACCAACTACAACTTTTCCTGTTAACCAAGAGGAGCAAGAAGCAAGAGAAATCGAAGAAAATCAGTTCGATCACTTCTTCGAAATGCCTGGAGATTTCAGCATTTTTGAAAATAGTGGTACTGCTAATAGCACTACTGATACTGTGACTACCAGTGACCACATGAGTGGTTGCTTTGAATCAAGTTATATTACAGAAGATCATGGGAGCACTTGCGTATTTGAAGTTGATGATAATTGGAGTAATGTTGATGGCACTGGTAAAGGTGGACAGCAAGAAGGTAGAGGTGACGAAGAGATTGATACGGGGCTGATTGATTTTCAATTTGATGATGCATTAGGATCATCTTGCTACCATTCTCCATTTGACATAGCACAGGAGATGATGGAGCCAATGGAGCAGGAACATTACGGGGAAGAGCCGCCAATGCTTAGGGAGATCATCAAGCGGTGGAAGCATGAACGCAAGTTCTCAGCTTCTCTTTATGCCTATAATGGCGTACCTGAATGTTTAAGGCTGGCATTCAGATCAGGAATGCCAGCAGTGGCAAATTGTGGATATGAGTTGCCATCTAACCTTAGAATCAACAGTAATAACAATGAAGAGGAAGAGAAAAGGGATGGCAAGGGAAAAGATGTCAAAGAGGAGGCCCAAGAAGTGGTTGGGATGCCACAAACACCAACAGAAAAGGGGTCGTCTTCTTCTCCCTCTTCTTTGAGCAAGGAAGGTGGTGAATTGTCTCTTTGGGATCTTCCTCCTATCTGCTTCAATATTATTTAGGGAAGGGATATCGATCATAGTATAAGCTAATCGTGTTAGTCCTATTTTTGTAGCAACTGAGCCTGGATTCTTCATATTTCATTAAGCAACAAAATAAGCGATAATTGTAGTTCAGCATTGCTTCGTTTTGGTTCAAGATACATTGCAGACATCAATAAGGAATCAAAATCTAAATGAAGGCATGACACCTGCTCTAAGTGTCAAATTTGCAAACCCTCGTGGATTATTGAACTGTATTCCCCATGCACAAGAATCTAAGCAGAACAAACAACACTGCGACAAGGAGGGTGCTCGCCTCCATTAAATAAGCTAGGTGGTTAATCACTTACATAATTACACACTACTTTCATTATCATTTTTTAATTACAATAAAATATAGGATTCAAATCCAGTATTTGTCCTCTCTTTCCACAATATCGTTGAGCATATCTAGTGCTCCCTCAATGTCCACGAGCCTCATTTTCAAACCAATCGGGAGGTTAACCATCATTAATATCTTCTTTTGTTGGTTTGAATCATGATTAATGTCTGCCTTTTCAGTTTTTCGTAGATGGTTTGAGTTAAAAGTAGTCCAGATACTAGGCATGTGGTCAAGATACCCTAATAAATTTCTAGCAGGATCTTCTCAATCTGCTCAACTATCCGTACACTCAAGATTTCTATGACCTAATTAGTAACATAAAGAATCTAATTAACTTTAACTGATGTGATGATCCAAGACTTCTCCCAGTCTTGGTGCAGATTGTCAAAAGTTTAGTTCCTTATTCCATTTACCTAAATCATGTTCATGGAAAAACATAAGCTTGCTTTACAACTTTAGCAAGAGAAAGTGAGTGAGAAAGCCTTTCTCGCTTTTAAGATGTTTCTATTTAGTACCAAGTTCAACTCTAAATTAATGGGTAGAGAGCATATTCAAAATATCCATAGTGCTAATAGAGTTGTGTTTTGTGCAAAGGTACATGATTTAAAAGAGGTGATGACATTGTGAGGATAAAAAGGAACATCCAGGAGCATAATATAGAAATGCAAATATTCATGTGACAGATTCTGAGACATTAGCGTGGCAGGCAAACAATTGTGTTACAGGCTTTTTTTAAGAAAAAAAATTTGATGATATATTTTTTTTAAATAACTCAAGGATTATCGTAAAAACTAATTTATTAAAATTTGAATTCATGATTTTTTCAAAAAGATCACTTTACAAAATCTTTTGGTTGTGTCACAGCTTTCACTTCCATCGTAGTCAACAATCTAACCAAATTTTTTTTTCAAGCTTCGTATAACCACAGTTTTAGATAACGGACATGTTATAATCATAGTTTTAAATAATAGACGGGTGAAAAAACGATCGCAGTCATTATTGTGGATCACGACTTATTATAATATTAAAATAACGATAACGGGATGCTTCGAAACCGTTATATAACATAACAAAAGTTATTTAAACTATGCGTATAACTATGATTTTTTTTTCTTCCCATTTTTGCCATCCACGTCCACTAGCAGGGCCACTACCTATGTTGGGATTATTTTCACCGCATTATGGTGCAAAATGAGCCATCCTGGCATCCATTAACTATCAAGAAACGAAGATTTCAGTTTGTCATTTCCAATAGTTGGTTTTGCTAATTATGAATGTTGCACATGTCATGTCTGAAAGCAAATACCATGAACTTATGTCTATTTTCATCTATAATTAACACAACAAGTAGCAATACATGATTAGAAATTAGAATTCGCAACCATATTCTCCTCACTGACTCAGCTCTCCTTCAGGCTGCTTAAGGTTGTTTTTATCTGGCTATGCTGCCTATGAGTGCTTTATGAGATAAAAAAACTTGGTTCTTTGACAGCACTTCTTTGAGGTGTTAGTGAGGCAGGACACGCCAACTAACAACACCATTAACAATTTATTTAGGTAGAAAGAAAAATGCAAATTTATCAAATGAAATAACACCCTTCGGATCATAATCTTGGACTAGGTGTGGCTGGCATTAATTGACCACAGATGCTTCTTTGGTTTAGTTAGAGCATGATCAGGTGATACTTCTTCATGTAGCCATAAAAGCATGCACAGCTCATTTGATCATTTTGGTTGCAGTAATACATATCACTCAGTCCTTAGTTCTCAAGAAAGGGCATCATATTGATTAAACTCATGAAAACATCATATCGGTTGCAGTAATAACTAGAGGGTGTTTGGATAATCACTCTTTAAACCGATTCTTTTTTACACTATTCTCCTTTCATTTAGCTTAATGTTTCTTGATTAGGGCACAATTAATTGGGAAACTTTATCTTCTAAGCCCCACTTAAAAACGAAAGAAAAAGAACTCATCCTCAACAACGTTTGTTAAGTATTTCCGTATTCAATTTACATAAAAAATACATCATGTCCTACTTTTATTTTTTGTGCTCCAAAATCAAAATTCAAAGCTTATCTTGCCTCCCTCCTATCTTCTTCTACCCCTGAACTTTTTTGACATTGATAATGGTCTAAACCATGTGAAATATGTACCTAAGCTTACATCATGGGTTCTTCTATACGATATGGATTCGTTTGTACTGTTGGCTTTACATGTCTTGCTCTCTTTATTTGTCTCCTACCTAGGTGGCCTATCTTGCCATAGCCCCTTGATTGAGACCTGCACAGTTTTTTTAATCTTAGATAAGGGTCAAACAAACGAACAAAATATATATATATATATATATATATATGCAAGGCCAATAAGGTAGAGTAAGAATTATGGATCATTGGTGTACAAGCACTATGCATTGAGGAAAAGGATGGAATTATTTTAACAAGAGTTGGACAATGAAATCATCTTGGCAAGAAGATGTTTTTGGGGAATGCAAACAAGCACATTTGGGTCTTTTTTCATTCGGCACAATAATAGAAATTGAAGAAACGAAAGCATTACAAAGTTTTAAAAACCCATCATAACAACTTTTATGGTGAGAGTGGTGATTGGAAGACTAGCTTCTTTTTTGGAATCTAATTCAGTGAGAATATAATTACAAACTTCCGAATCAAAGTTAATGAGTTGAGTAAAACTTCTTTCCTATTGACAGGTAGTAGTGTCGTGACACTAAGGCTCAACAGGGAATTTGATGGTGCCACATGTCTGACTTGTTGTAATTTGGAAACAGTGATTGTTTGACCAATCCTCTGTTTTTGTCAATATCTCGAAGTCCCTGAAGAATTCATATAAACTAGAGCAGTGGACTATACCAGTGGACATGATGTGGTCCAAATTAAAAAACAAAAACAAAACGAAAGAAAGAAAAAAAGGGGTTTTTGAAGCATCCTAGGCTCCACACTCCAAAAATGTTAATTATATTGTCCCATCACCACATTCCAAAAATGTTTATCCTTTAAAAAATTTGGAAAGACCCACCTTCCCAAGTGCATGAATGGCCCCAAATCTCATCCCCACCACCATTAATCATGTTAACAAAAGTTTAGGCAAAAGGGAAGGCCGAAGGTAAGAATCAATATTATGTGAACAGATGATAGCTAGAAGAAAAAAACAACAAAACAAAACAGTGGTGAAGTGCTTTTTTGTATTATTGATGGTTTTGGTGATACTGATGTTACCATTTCATAGAATTAGCTCATGTTTATGTTTTTATGATGTCTGTCTAGGAGAATAGGTGATAAGTGATTTTCACAGGCCTATGTATCATAGTATGTTCAATAATGACCACAGAAAGAGAAGGGAGGGAGGAATAGAACTTTCTCATTCATAATCCTATATTGCTCTACTAATATCAAAGGATATTAGGCATACTGTTAACACATCATGAGGACTAAGGAGTTTTTAGATAGTCCCTTTTCGTTTCGGGTAGCTTTTGCAAAAAAAATAATCCATAAAAGCATTTTTGGTAGAAATAAACATCATTCATGAAGAAAAATCAACTCTAGTTTGGTTGTGTGATTAGGATTTTTGGTAAATATGTACATCATTCAAGATTAGGATTTCTTTAATTTGCACAAGTAAAATGCTTTGCTTGCAGGCAGGCGCAGACACACTAGCTAGCATGTAGGCTTGGTTGCTCATTTTGCTTGTGCTTCTTCTGTCATGTCTACGAGCCCTCGCCACTTTTTGGTCCGCAGAAGTGGTCCCACTAGATGCAGCATGGCTACAATGTAGTCTTAATTCATTCGTCTTATTTAAGTGGATGGCAATGATGAGTATGACTAACAAGATGATGCTAAGATACTAGGCAGTAATCTTTTAAAAAAAATAATAAAATAAAAATAGAAAGGACAGGAAAGTCCAATGACTATGTAGCTGACTATTGTTTCCTCCTAATAAAGCTTTTCCTCACCCCATTTGACTTCAAAACAGAATCAGGAAAGAAGGGGGTGAAAAAGGGTGAGGTTAGTTTTATGGAAAAAGATTGGCAGGTAGTCAATGGACCTTAAAGGGTGTATGATATATCAGTACCGCTCCTAAGGCTAATAGCATTAAGATATGCTTTGTACACACACAGATAGCAGTAACTCCAAAAGATCCTTGCCTATTTCATGAGTGGGACCTTTTCACTTTCTTTAAAGCCAACCTAGCCAGCCCTCCTTTCAACTTGAGCAGCAACACTAAACCCCTCTTCAGAACTAGACACAAAGAACCTCAGGAGCTAAAACCCAAACTCCTCTCTCTCTCTCTCTCTGTCTGCAATAACTACAGTTCCTTCTGAAACACTTTAGCATTGATATCTATAAAAGGAGCCCATGTCTTCTCTTTCCTTTTGCTTCTCATGACCAAAGTCCTTATTTCTCACTGTGTTTTGTTTCTTTCTCTCACAAACAAGTCATGGAAGAGACAGAAGAGTCCAGTGGTAACAGGAAATGCACCACCATGACTAAGACTTTCAGAGGAAGGACCAACACCAATAAGCATCATTATCAATATCACCAGTATCAGCATCAGCTCTTGCAATACTCAAATCAATTTGGTTTCTTTAACCAATACCAGTACCCAGGTTACTACCCGGCTCTTCTTCCTCTACCTCCACCAATACCTTTCCAACTTGCTGTAGCTCCACCTCTTCCTCAAAACCACAGCTTTATATCAAAAACCCAATTGCAGAAACCTTTATGTAAGCTACACAGCCCTCTTCCTCCTCCCTCCCATCCTCCTACCTCCTCTGATACCAAAGGCCCAGCTGTTACAACCTCACCAGGTAACATTACTAATCTGAAACCACCTTCTGTTCTGTGTTTTTTTCTTTTTTTCCTGTTATTTTTTGTTCTTCGTGTGATACCATTCTATGCGTGTATGTCCTTTGGAAGCTTATATTCATTGTTTCTGTCTAAGGATTCTAGAGAAATACTTGTGTTCTTCTTTTGCTTTGAACTTTTATACTACCAAGTTGTAAGGTTATAATAGCTCTTTCATTTTAATCTCTTTGGCTACAATAAAGTACTATAGAGTTATCAGCAATGAGGAGAGTGATTATTTACAAATGGAGAGTAATGAAGATAAGCTAATTGCCAAACAGATTTTCTCTTTTACTTCTTAAAAATAGGACTCAAATGCTGGAATGTAGTTGATTTTATTGTAGCTCTAGATCTTTTTAACCATGGCTAGATGCTCTAGTATGAGACCAAATCGTATATCCACGTCGTTAAATTTAGTTCCATTGATTTAGTGATACTTTTCACCTTGTATGAACAGCTTTTGAGGGGCTTCAACAACAGAAGAGTCGGCCCCTTAAAGGAGATGGTGGAAGGAAAGTCATGAGTGCCACAACACAATCACTAGTGGTTGCACGGAGACCAGATTCTGGTGGTGTAGAAGGGCCAGTTATTACTCTCCTTGCCAACCATTTCCTTGTTCAATTCGACTCCTCGCAGCAAATTTTCCATTACAATGTCGAAATTTCTCCTAATCCTTCCAGGGAAGTTGCCCGGATGATCAAACAAAAACTGGTAAAGGAAAATTCAGCTGTGCTCTCTGGTGCTCTTCCAGCCTATGATGGCCGAAAAAATCTTTACAGCCCTGTTGAATTCCAAAAGAATAGGCTTGAGTTCTATGTTAGCCTCCCAATCCCAACTAGCAAGTCATCATTGCCTTCTGGAGAATTTAATTTCTTGCAAGAGAAGCATCAACAGCTCAAACTATTTCGAATAAATGTCAAGCTTGTTTCGAAGTTGGATGGAAAGGAATTGAGTCGCTACTTGAGCAAGGAAGGGGATGATTGGATCCCTCTTCCTCAGGACTATCTGCACGCTTTGGATGTTGTTTTGAGAGAGAGCCCAGTGGAGAGATGCATACCTGTGGGAAGATCCCTGTATTCTAGTTCAATGGGGGGAACTAAAGAAATAGGAGGTGGAGCTGTTGCATTGAGAGGATTCTTTCAAAGTCTCAGGCCAACTCAACAAGGACTAGCACTCAATGTGGATTTCTCTGTGACTGCTTTTCATGAAAGTATTGGAGTAATTTCCTACCTGCAAAAACGTCTTGAGTTTCTTCGGGACCTTCCTCAAAGGAAAACAAGAAGTTTGGTTGGGGAAGAAAGGAAAGAAGTGGAGAAGGCTTTAAAGAACATCAGAATCTTTGTTTGCCACAGAGAAACTGTTCAGAGATACCGGGTTTGTGGCTTAACTGAAGGAGCTACAGAAAATCTTTGGTTTGCTGACAGGGATGGGAAAAATCTGAGGTTGCTGAATTACTTCAAGGATCACTACAATTATGATATACAATTCAGAAATTTACCGTGCTTGCAGATTAGTAGGAGCAAGCCATGTTATCTTCCTATGGAACTCTGTATGATTTGTGAAGGCCAGAAGTTTCTTGGGAAGCTGTCTGATGATCAGACTGCAAGAATACTTAAGATGGGCTGCCAAAGACCAAAAGAACGAAAATCCATCATAGATGGAGTCATGCGAGGATCTGTTGGCCCAACAAGGTGATTTTAATAAGTGCTAAAACGATTCTCCAGTTAAAATCTTTCTCGAGTCCTCTTGAAACTTCACTTAAACTAATAATCTCACTCGGTCTTTTGTGGTTTTTAGATTCTTCCCTTGTTTGTTTTTAACTTCGTAAACCTTTTTGTTAACAGTGGCAACCAGGGAAGAGAATTCAAACTCCATATTTCAAGAGAAATGACACGATTGAGTGGCAGAATTCTTCAACCTCCGAAACTGAGACTTGGTGATGGTGGCCATGTACGAGATCTTATTCCTTCTCGCCATGATCGCCAGTGGAACTTTCTGGATAGCCATGTCTTTGAGGGAACTAGAATCCACAGGTGGGCACTGGTAAGTTTTGGAGGCACACTTGATCAGAAGTCCAACATTCCAAAATTCACGAACCAGCTATCTCAAAGGTGTGAACAATTAGGCATCTTCCTTAACAAGAACACAATAATTAGCCCTCAATATGAGCCAACTCAAGTGCTAAACAATGTCTCCCTTCTGGAATCAAAACTCAAGAAGATCTACAGTGCCGCATCAAACAATCTCCAGCTGCTTATATGTGTAATGGAGAAGAAACACAAAGGGTACGCAGATTTGAAGCGAATAGCAGAGACAAATGTTGGTGTCGTAACCCAGTGCTGCTTGTATCCAAATCTTGGCAAGTTGAGCTCCCAATTTCTGGCTAATTTGGCTCTCAAGATCAATGCCAAAGTTGGCGGGTGCACCGTTGCTTTGTATAATTCGTTACACTCTCAGATTCCTCGCCTTCTTCGTTCCAATGAACCTGTGATCTTCATGGGAGCTGATGTGACTCATCCTCACCCGCTCGACGATGTCAGTCCATCTGTTGCTGCTGTGGTTGGTAGCATGAACTGGCCTGCTGCAAACAAGTACGTCTCAAGAATGAGGTCGCAAACACATCGACAAGAAATCATCCAGGACCTTGGTGCAATGGTGAAAGAATTACTAGACGACTTTTACCAAGAATTGAATGAACTTCCCAAAAGAATTATATTCTTTAGGGACGGAGTAAGCGAAACCCAATTTTATAAGGTCCTTAAAGAGGAGTTGCAAGCCATCAGAGAAGCTTGTTCTAGATTCCCTGGATATAGACCTCCCATTACTTTTGCAGTAGTCCAGAAGAGACATCACACAAGGTTGTTTCCTGATGAGACTGATCCATCTTCAACTCAGAACCAATTTTCTGACGAAAATATACCCCCTGGGACTGTTGTGGACACTGTGATTACGCATCCAAGGGAATTTGATTTCTATCTGTGCAGCCATTGGGGAGTGAAAGGTACAAGCAGGCCAACACATTACCATGTCCTGTGGGATGAGAACCAATTCACTTCTGATGAACTACAGAAGTTGGTTTACAATCTGTGCTACACATTTGTAAGGTGCACCAAACCAGTTTCTTTGGTGCCTCCTGCTTACTATGCTCACTTGGCTGCATATAGAGGCAGACTTTACCTTGAGCGATCAGAGTGCATGGCTTCCATGAGAAATGCTTCTACAATCTCAAGAGCCGCCCCGCCAAAGGCAGCTCCTCTACCAAGGCTCAGTGAAAATGTAAAGAAGTTAATGTTTTACTGCTGATTTTTGTCCAAGCCTATGAATTCTTCAATTAATGACTTGCATCAATGCAAACTTACCTAGTTCAAAATGCAGTACAACCCAATAATCACTTTAGCTTGCTAGATGCCAATGCTCTTAGAACTTGCATAATGTTGAGAACCTACTCCTCATAGGAAAAAAGAAAACCTGAAGTTGTGCATTTATTTGTCAGTGAACTATGATGCATGTTCTTGTGTCGGAGGAGATTGTCTGAATTCCAGAAACTTGCACAAACCTCGCCATTCTTTATTTTTCTTTCATATTTTACTCAAAAGAGCAAATTAAACTATTTCCTAAAGATATTGACTAAGTTGATTAAGCCTGTAATCATGGTTAAATAATTTTGCACTAATCATTGCATCTGGATGGATGGCAGTGGTTGAAAGACACTAGTAAGTTTTTCAAGACATGTTCAACAACTATGATCACTTAATCAGGAACCAAAAGAACGAAAAATGTACTCTTTAATACGTAGTATCTGCTACAAAAGCCAGAAATGTTTATGTTTTCGAGTGTATACAAAAGAAATTAAAAGAAACAAACAGCAAATAAAATACCAAGGAAACAAAAGAAAAGACAGTTGTAGGACCCGGAAAGAGAATGGTACATAAAAACCAGCTCATTTAACTGACAGGCAAAGGATTAGCCAGCCCAAACCCATATGATTGAAAGGAGAGAAGACGAACCTACTGACCTCAGACAGAGAAAAGGAAAGAAAATAGGAATAAAAAGCCAAGAGAAAAATATGGGTCATGGAGTAAAGACAGTGGAGTCTGACTTTCGAGTTTCCCTTTTGTCTCTTCAGCTCTGTCTCTCACTCAGTGTAACAAACAATATCTTATGACACCAATCCAATCCATGGCCATCAGCCCACGCACCAACCACCCAACCATTGATCTAATCAATATCTTCTGCTTGCACCAGAGAGGGAGAGAGAGAGACTTTTAGGTACTGTACGGCTCACAGAACTCAGCAAATGACCAGGCCCACAACAAAGCTGACACTTGTACCTGCTTCCTTTTGTTTTCATTTCCTCCATTTCTTTAAGGCTCATATTTCCTGTGATGCTCAGCAGAATATGCGTTTTAAATTGAAGGGTGAAATATATAGGTGATGTCACTCCAACTACAATGCTTCCCTTTTTATGATATTTTTTTCTTTTTTCTTTTTTTGGGACTAAAATTTGTTCTGAATAACGTGGATATAAAGCAATTTATAATGAATATAAATATGAGTTATAATTTGGAGATTAATATGTCACTTTTCTATTAAACAATTTATAAAAATATTGAATTATTCAATTTGATAAATGATAAAATATAAAATCTGGATTTTAAAACCTCATGCATTTATTCAGTTCATTTCATTTTTTCGTAAGATTGGTACTTTCTTTTTATCCCCCTTAATTCTACGAGTGGTATGAAATTACAGACTACTGTTCAGGACATGAGAGTAAAAAAATAACCCAGAAAGAAGTGGTCGGTAATTATCTCATTTGCTGGCAATATTCACACATATATCAAAGCAATCTTAAAGGGATCAATAGCCTTTGGTTACTTGTGTCGGTGATACGAAACAAACACAACAATACCATGCCCCGTTAACAACAGCAACCTATCAAACAAGGTGTTTTTTCCCTGCATTTATTGGTCCCATCTCATCCGTCCAGTCCAGCCAATCCAGTCATCAGTCCAGTCCAGTCCAGTCCAATCCAGTCTTGTTGTTTGTCAGTCGAAGTTCTTAAATGTTACCATTCTTTACACTGTTAATGATCTGGCGGATTAAATCATGCCTGGATCTAACGGTACTCCATGCATCAAATTAATTAACGGCCAGATAACGGTTGGCATCTACTGGTTTGGTAACTGATGTTGGTACTTAGGATATAGGATATATTTGGTAATATGTTTGCACTGTATTTAAAAATATTTTTTAAAGTGCGTTAGAATTTAAAAAAAAAACATTAATTTGATTTTCTTTAGATAATTTTAAATAATTTAAATATGTTGCCGTCAAAAATTAAAAAAAAAATACTTGAGAAGATATTAACTTGATGTGTTTTCAGTTCAAAACATAAAAAACACATGAAAAGACATTAATTTGATTCATTTCAGTCTAAACGTAATTTTTCAAAAAATCCCACTACCAATCACGCACTTGGTACAGCGTGAAGTCATTTTTACGTGCTGTCCAATCCCAGAGTCACATTATTTCACGTCAAGGCATCTTTTCTTTCATTGGCATCTAACCGATTCGATGCCGCTCTCCATTTTACAAGGTAGCTTTAAGCGTTAAATAGTAGGATAGAGGTTGTGAGTTCTGACTCCTGAGTTAACGATGGAGATGGGCTTAATTTGGCTGCCTAATGCTCTCGAGTCTGCAATGAATAGCTTTATTGTTTGGACCCAGACCCAATGGATATCTGTGGCCTTATAATTTATAAACTTATACCAAGGATGAATAGCCTTTAATTAACGAGGGAAACTTATTTAATTTCCACAAAACGCACACTGCTAGCCCATAACTAGGTTGGTGCCTTATGGGGTAGCAGATGATCTTTGCTTCTGAGAGCTAGCAAGTTTACAAGTCACTACTAAACCATTCAAAAGATTCAACTCCTGCCATATGGCTCTGTGGCTTCTAGGTATTCCTTCATTACTACATGGATGTTACAGCATTCCTGCTGGTAAATAAATGTATCAAACAATATCTAGCTGTATTTACGGTAGCAGTTAAAAGTAAAATCAGCAACACTGCAGAAGGGACAACTTACAGAAGTGAAAAATAACAGAGAAGAATCTATGTCAAACTATTATCCTAACAAGGATCTTTAGTTTTTCACTTTCTTGGCCGTTGTCACTTTCCCATGTTCCCCCGGTGTAAATTATGAAGGGGAAGTAATTGCAGTACACTTTAACTCGTGAGTATTATTAAAAAACGCGCTCTGGTAAAGATTTCTCTGCTGGCAGTTGTAGTAACTCCCGGATCCCCTCACAAACCTGCAAGCGCCAATGATATAGTTCTCAAACCCCAAAAACTATCAAGAAATGATTAAGGAAAAGAAAAAGTCATATCATCAAGTTCTTTCACCATGGACATGTCTGGTTAAAACTCTCGCCCAAGAAAAGCCCTAGGTTAACAAGTGATTGCAATTGTACAGTAATGTAATGTTCATGACCCACCGTGTATATTAATAAGGATAGAAATTAAGTCATCGAAGACCCTGTCGACTTATGAAAGAGAAAAACACATACTGGCCTAAAGACCTACTGAAAGTAGTTATTAGGGGCATGTAGATGTTTTGAAAGGTGGAGAGATTCTCCTTTTTTAGAAAAAAAAAACTGTTAGAACACAGAACTAAATGAGTCATCATTACAACAATCCTTACCAACTTGATCCTGGCTTTAATTGATGCTATTAGGCGAGTGTACTCCTCTATCTGTCTGCAGAATGAAATTCAGTGAATCATTAAAATTTTGAATAGAACACCCTTTGCTTATAGAGAATGAATACAGAACCCCCTAAATATTCCCAGGACTTGAAAATGGCAAGCGTGATGATACAGCCACACACAACGGCAAGTGAGATGACACAGAGACACAGATGTACGGACAAGGAATTGAACGGAAGATGCAAAAGTAGTCCATGTAATTGATGATACCTGTGGCACACCCTATTGTATAATGCGAAAGCTAGGTCTGATAGCTTAGTTCCATTATTGAACTTGCATAATTAGATCACAGTGAAAAGTAACCCTTCCAGCATCCCTACCCCACAAGGTCTCACAATTAATGCCAATAAGTTGTCCACCTGACCATGTCAAGCAAAGGGGAAATGCTCCTGCACATTCTCTGGCCTCCCTTCTGTTGTAACCCAGGCCAAGCAAAATGTTCAAAGAGAAGAATTTATCTGGCAGGCACCACCAGCTTCTGCCTCGGAGATACTTTGAGATCTCAATATACGCTATTAATGAAGGATTTAATTCCATGTAATCTCTTAGTTATTGTAATGGAGTCCAGAGAATAAATAAGGTACGCTAAGTTCAGATGTAGCAACTTCTATGACAAGCTTTCGTTTATTTTATCTTTTTCTTTGTTTATTGGTAGTACAATGGGTTGGATATGTAATGACTAATGAGGTTCATCTTAATAAAACTACTTCTAGATAACATATGGCAATGACAACCAGCAATGGTTTCTTTTTTCTCAACCCTGCCATAGGCAAGTTGTCTTGTTATTTAGGAGGTACAAGTTTTGCATTAACATATTTTCCGATGCTTTCTAAGTAATGACATGAAAACCTTGGTGGTAATGGAAACTTGCTGGAAAGATGTTGGCCAAGTGGTGGTGATGGTTAAAGTAGTTGGATTACAGTGTAAGGAACAAATTGTGAGTTAATTACTAACCGTAATATATTTTACAAAACTTCATGAAAAATAATTTTCGAAGTTTCTAGGTTGACTATAAAATAATATTTTACATTGCACAAAAACAAACGCCCCCTAAGCTTTTATTTTGCAACATGTTTATAGGGGCAAAGACTTTAAACATAGCTTTGATTAACCAAAGAGAAATTGCATACCTCGCTATCTTTTCCTCCCTTAGTGCTATGAAATTCAAAGCTTCGGACCAGGTAAACTCAACGTGGAATCCAAGTCCAACATCCACAAATATGCGTTGGGTATCTGGCCTGATATGTAAATAATACTTGGAGTTCAATACAGCTACTGAAAGAAACTATAATACTTCAAGGCAACAAGCACTCACACATCAGCTTGCATGTACACTTCAGAGCCGAGGTTGACCATCGTTCTGAGACTAGTTACACTGTTCTTCTCTAAGTTCTCTATATTCCTTCGCAAATCTGAGCTAGAAGTAAAGAGTCAAGCAAACACTGGTAATATGAAGGATCAGTTAATGGGTTGCAAAGTTCAATTAAATGACATTCACTGCCCAATGGCCTCCATTCAGTGCACAAGGAAATTCTATAAGACAATGGGTACTGACTACCCACTATTTAATCGCCAAAGAAACAAAAAGAAAAGGATACAAAACCTTTTGTTGCTCAAAAACCTTGTCCCTGCAAAATTAGAACATGAAAAACATTCAATAAGCATTCAACATTGCATAAATTATAAATATCTATTCTACTAGAGAACTCTCAATCAAGCAAATTAAAGAAGCAATATCCTAAGCATTTGATGTTAGCTATACTCAATTTTTTTTTTCCATTCATTCTCACTTAAAATGTTGTGAATTTCGCGATTTTAATAGCAGTAGCAGAACTTATGTCCTACATTACAAAGAAATTACTCCGGCAAAAAAAAATAATAATTTGTTATCATTTTGATTGACAAACACTAAGATGGTACAAAAGGCAATTGGTGGCAATAATTGAAGCAAAATAATCGGGAAAAAAATAAATACATATATACCGTTCAGCAATAGCGCGAACAAGCTGTGGTTTCAAGTGGCCATCAACAAATTCCTCAAATTTTTGAATTTTTTCCTGTATGTAGCCGTCCATCATTATCCCTGCTATAAAATATGGCCAAAACTTATAAAATTCCTCCAAAAGAAGTCCCTCTTCATATATAAACTTGCAAACGAAATAAGCAACTTTTCGTCTAGACATTTTGTCAAATGATATAACTGCACAAACTCTAAAAACCGCACAATCAACTTTTAGCAGATATGTTACCAGAAAAAAATTAGATAAAATATTTTATGTAATAGAGTAGAATGTTAGTTATTAGTATTATTATCAAATAGAAAATAGTTAATCAGTCAGTTGGGTGCCAAGCCAAGAGGCAGAGATTAAATACGAAATATATTTTTTTCTATTTTTTTCGTTATCCTTTTTTTTTCTCGGTCTGTATAATGTATGCTTGCGTTTTGAATTCCTCTGTTTTCATATAACTCCCGTTCGATTTTCAATCTTCAAAAAATCACTGCCACAAATTCAATTCACTGATTGGGTGGGGGACCTATGAGTTATGAGTACTGCTGCACTTATAGATGACGAAACTTGCTCAAATGGTTGTTAGCAAACAATACAGATATAGAAATATATTTGATATTATTTAAAGGGAGAAAGAAAAAAGAAGACAAAAAAGGAACCTGCAGCCGGCGCTAGGTAATGTGCAATCGACGGCAACCAAGGAGCTTCGGAATGGAGTTTTTTAAGCTGCAATAGTAGTGGCGAAATTGATTTGGCGAGTTATAAAAGATGATGAAGAAATCGTTCTGCTTGGATTTTTTCTTCTTTTTTTCTTTTTTATGTCTTGGAAACCCAGGAGGAAAGAGGAAGGTTAATTTTAAGAAAAGGGCCACTTAATAAAATTACTCATCTTTTTTCAGGGTTTAGTTTTGTTTTAAAAAAAAAAAAAAACGTCTGTCACATGGTGAGGGAAAAGAATTGTTTTTCATCGGCATTATAAAGTTTTGAGGACAGCCACAGGCCCACAGCCAGTCAGCCACAACCGGAAAAAAGAGATTATAAAGTTTTTTTTTGAATGAGGTGTGGGCTTAGGCCCATTACATTATTTACAAAATACAAACTGCAATTATGAGGGAAAGCTCAACCCACCGATCCAATCCAAGTACAACATCTACTGCCTACTAGCTTTTGTAAAGAAAAATTCTATATAAACCTGAAATAGGGATAGCCGATAGCGGAAAAGGGTTTGCTTCTGATTTTGGAAGGTTTTATTATTAATATGGACAAAAAGGATTTTGCAGGGTAGGTAGTTCGTTCAGCCAAATTGAACGATATGTCAATGTATATGAGTAATGAATGACATGTCTTCTATTTTACGTCTAGTGTGAGTGACATATCTTCCTGTGGTTTGTGCTTGGTTTCTTATATTGCTATACTAGAACCAAAAATTCAACCAGGTCTTAGAAAGAAAGAGGATTCTAATCTTTCAAAATTCTAACATTTTTGGGAATCAAATTTCACATTAGTTTTTGCTACATTCATTACACTGATTTTAATGCTAAGCCTCTTTTTCTTTTTTTAATGTTCATCGGAAGATTTGTAGGCATGAGACTCCTCAATTAAGAGATTTTTTTATTTTTTTCAATACATACCAACTACTAAATAAATTATAATAAAGGATATTCTTTTTTCATTACATAATAACCAAATAAATAACTAAAATTATCTGAATACATAATTATTAAACTATTTGAAAACTAATTGACGAACATTACTCTGTCACGTGGAAAAATACCATTCATTTGCCTTTAATACACTACTATAAGCTGACATGGTACTATTTTGATGAGAATTGATGCTTATAACTTCGTCTCGTGTCATTGCTCCAGCTGAAATTGATGACAGCCATTTTCTTTTCGTTTTGGGGATTGGCATGATCTTCAAACAAGTTGCATAAAGATACAGAAATTATAACCCCTTCTTTTTATTTTGATCTTAAAGATATTGTAACACTTGTTGACTCCCCTGGACTTTGCAGCTTGCTTTCGTTTATGCAAAGGGCGTAAGTTAATCGATCTTTTTATGCTGCTGCAGAGATGGCATTTTGCTGTTTTCAGCTGTGATGCGGTATAAACTGTGAATTTCTTTCTTCTCTTCCTAAATCAATTTAATTTTCTTCCTTTCCTAACGTTCGACTCTAGTACATCTTCCTATTCTGCATGAAAGAAAGCAAATTAAAACATCAAAAAACTGTTCATCGAATTTATTCAATCCATCCGGTGGACCCTGGAATGTAGAACACACATGTAAGGAGATATGGAGTCGGGACCACCGTAAATACCCAAGCAGATACAATAAGTGGATGAGGCAATGCTACATCAGAAGAACTAAAAGTCGGACGAATTGAAGATGGAAGCAACATGGAAAAGCATCAACCAATATTAAACAAGAACAAATCAATCTTGAGGTATGGCTAAAAACATTTAAGATCAAAGTTTGCTAGCAGCTAATTTGTACTTTCATGCTTTTGGTTTATAGACTATCTAGATGCAAGAAATCAACTTGTTTCATCATAACGTTAGTTTTCAGGGAAGAAAAATCTAGGAAAGCCGAATACTCAAAGTATTGGCGTCCAAATTTATCCCAATGGATCGAGCACTGAAATACCAGTGAAATTGCGCAACAACAACAGTGAAATTCCAGGAAGTAAAGACCTAATTCTTAGAGTTTACACAACAACAAATCATCTAAAGGGAATAAGAACTAGAGATGGTGATACTCGAGTGGACTTCCTTATTGTTCAACAAGAACAAAATAGCATTGATGCTTAAAATGATAGTATGGTGAACGATATTCGAGAAGAGATGGGACCTATTGAATTCAATCATCTTGCTTCCAGCTGGATGAAATTTTGGTGATATTCACAACAATAAGAGCAATTCTCAAAGTTCTGGTGAATGGGGCAATGAAACTACATGAATAAAAAATGAATCCCATGAGGCTGTTCATAACTACGTAGAATGGTTTTCAAATTGAAGATGCGTATCTTACAAGCAAATAAACTCAGTGTTTTCTCTTTAAGAGATATTTTGCTTTTAGACATGCATCTCAAGATGATAAGGGAAATCCATTATTATAAAAGAAAACCTAAGCATACTTGAAAATCCTTCCCTAAAATTTTCCAGCAACCAACAAGAGTAACAATAGCTACCTAAGGAATTCAAAGTGAAAAAACCAAGACTCAGAATTATTATTATCACTAACTGCCCATATCATTGCTACAATGATTAGAAAATATACGAAATTATACACTTCCCCAACAACCTGGCTACATATCAAAAAGTCAAAAGAAATCAAAATTATTTCTGAGCAAAATTAACAATTTCATTAGGTCCATGAGGCATTTCCAACATTTCAAACTTGTGCACGATGTCCTTGTAGGGAAAGAATTCATATAACTGGCAAACTCCATCCAATACAATGAACAGATTCGTTTATAGAACTCAAAATATCCTGTCTAATTCACGTTTCATAACAGGTACTAAATCTTTTCATGAAACATTAACAGTTTGATAGATGAAGTTGCATAAATAAAAACAATTTGACCATCCATGAATGGGGATAGGATATGCAAAGGACTTAAAATAAATAAAAGAGAAAAAGAAAAGAGCTAATAGGAAATGAATTTCCACCACATGAAAACACAAGATTACTGTCATTTTCAAAGGTTTATTTCCAAGGATTATCACTTTTTACAACAATACTACACCCATCGAACTTCACATACCTGTTTTGATTTTGTTTCATCTCATGCAGAATACCAAAAATATGATGTTCTGCATTCCAGTAACGTTTCTACTCCAAACTAGAGAATCATCTGAGGTTAGCACCAGCCATAAATCTTTGCACGCTAATGGCTAGTGAAGTTCCCACGAGAGTTCCTTACCAGTAGTGAGAGAATGAGAGCAGCAACATAACCATAATTTTTCTCATAAAAGTCCTGCCTTAATTAACTGGAGAAAACGCTATAATAACAATCAATTTACAAGACCACATCACGGAGTACCCATAGATTCAGTAGAAACAGTGACTGTTTCTAAAATTGACTGGCATTCACCGTCCAAGGCTTCCATACTATAAGATCTACAACTATAGTAGAAAACAGCACTCATCATCATATCAATAAGCACCACAAATGAATACATAACAACCAGAAGAGGACCTTCCCAAATCCTGGAAGACCCATCTCCATAACTCAATGTCTTCACTCTATGCTCAAACAAACCTTCTATAAATGCCATCCCAATTGTTGATCCAAGAAATATCAAAAGACCCACCTGAGTCTGTCCCCTAATTAAAACACTGGACCGGAGCAGTGCCTGCGGCCCTGAAACATCCTCCAACACAGAGATCACAACAGCAATATTGCAAATAATAATAGCATTGGCAAAAACAACTGAGAAAGCTAGCCCCACTACTATTGCAGCATACAGATTTAACTCCGGCCAAAACCCAATTACCGAAAATGTACTACAAACAGCTAAAAGAAGAACACAGAATAATGTGAGACAACCAACAATAACCATACACGACCACAAATACGTCGAAACAACCCTTCTCCAAATTTTCCTTGTTATCACCAAAAACTTTGAACCATCGACATCTTTCTTCGAATAAGTGCAATCTACAGAATAAACCACCGCAGCTCTCGATAACAAAGACAAGGTAATAAACAATGGGAAGCACATCGCCGACGAAAAAGCCATCTCGGCAAAACGATGACACGACTGGTTGATAAATGGCCGCAATGGGAGTCCAGTAGATTTTGCAACTAACAAAAGCCTAATACTCAATCTCTTAACAATAGACTGATCAACTAATACATTTGACAAAAGAATGGCAGAGACTGGACAAATAAGCAAAGCAATAATCGTCATAAACGACCATGAATTACATCGGAGAATTCTCACAGTTTCTCTCAAGATCTCCAATGCACTCGTTGAATGGAATTGATGGATATGCCTATCATTGTAATAGGATGATTCAAACTCAAAATTTTGCAAATGGGTTTCTTCGGATGCCTCCTTTTGTAGCTGACCCAAACTCATTCTAGGAGAAGCTCCACTAGAAACCTCCATATTGATCTAGATATATGCAGTGTCTGTATCACTCTATTGGATGTTGAATTAAAAATTTGCCTAGCAATATAACTTAAAGAAACAAAACTTAGATTTCGCTGTAACGGTCAGTGCGAGAAGCATGGAAAAATCAGGATCAGATAGTGAGAAAAACCTGGGAACTTCGCAAAATGATTGATGGAATTGGAGGGAATTCACGAGGACTTCACAATTGTGAAGGATTCTGATGTTGAAGGAGAAGAGTGGTGGATTCTTGGCGTGAATGGAAGGATGAGGTGGGGTGGGTTTCAAAGGCGTGCGTGGGATGTACTGGGATGCAGAGTGTTGCATTTTTTTAAGGTGCGCGCGTTGATGATGCTTCCATTGGAGGAGCCTTCTGAGCTACAATTTTATTGGATGGTCGTTGCGTCAAAATGGTAAAAAATATATATATAAATAAACCAGGATAAATTTCAATTGCCTCCCAATGTTTATAAGTTCCTTCGATTTCACCCAGAACCTTTGATTTATTTTAATCGGCCCCTATATCTTTCAAACTTTATTCTAATCAGTGCTACATCTTTCATTTTTGTTCCAATTTACATCCTCTACATTTATGTCAGATGGGTTTAATTATAAATTCTACCGCCATTCTATTACGATTTGGTAATTTTGAACCTATCAAATCAAGTTATTTGAACCCTAAAGTATTAAAGATTCGGTAATTGTGATCCAAATAGCCCAACCTTCTTATGTTTAACGATCAATCCAGGTTGATCGTTACATGAAATGCCAAAACAACGTGATTTTGACATTGTACTCGTTAATTAATTTTGTTTTAAAATATTTTTAACCTCCTAATCTTGAACTTTTAAAAAAAAAATTTCTTATAAAATATTATAAATTATATATAAAAAAAACATTTTATAAATATTTAGCCCTTCTAATTTTGAATTTGTTTTTTAACTTTTTTTATAAAATATTACAAACATTTTATAAAAAATGCTTTTTATAATTTATAAAATTAGTGGGTCAACTTTTAATTATGTTCATTTTAATTTATATTTTTTTTCAAACTTGAAATTGTATATTATTGATTTTTTTTTTTACAATAACATTTTATATAATTTTTTTTAAGTTCAAAATTAAAGATTTAAAAATATTTATTAAAAAAATTATATACAATTTATAAAATGTTTATAATATTTTATAAGAAAAAAGTTTTAAAAAATCCAGATTAAGAGAGTTAAAAATATTTTTTATTTAAAAAAAAACATAATTAATAATTGAATGTCAAAACGACGTCGTTTTGATATTCTAAATAACGATCAAACCAGCCAACTGTCATACATAACCGAGATTGGACAATTTGGATCATGTTTTCTCAATCTTCAATACTTTGAATATCAAAATACATAATTTGGTACTGTGAGCTCAAAATTGTCAAATTGCAATAAAATAGTAACAAAATTTGTCATTAAACCATGTCGGATGTATAAATTTTATTTTCACCCCAAAAATTGTATGAAATATCTCAATATCATGCAAAAAGTAAAAATAAAAAATAAAAAAATTGAAATCAACTAAAATTAAAAATAGAAAATCAATATAATTTTTATTTTTAATGAAATAAATATGATAAAATTTGAAAGGGTTATTTAAAAAAAAATCTCAAATTCTACCAACTTCTTACTTGACAACATCATATGTTTTTACCATAATTAAATAAAAATCTAGATCCAAATTAGTTTAACACACCCCTCTCTCTAGATTTTTTTTTAAATCAAAATATTCATCATTCCAATCCCTTTCAGCCATCACACTCTCTTTTTTATTTAACATTATCATCAAATAGTATATTTAATATCTACAAATAGTCACGCTCTAAGCGATGTCAAGATTGTCATAAACTCAAGTCATTATTCTAATCATATGGAATTTCAATTTTTTTAAAAAAAATTATTGTTCAAGATTTTAATGGAAAGTTAGATAAAAAGCGAAAATATGATATATTAGTGATGTGATGTTAATACTGTTATTAAAAATATTTTTTTATCACATTTGTTTTCATCTTAACTTTATTTTTATATTGTCAAACGACTATTAGATAGTGTTGATGGAGAAAAAATCATATTTGTTTATTAAAAAAAATGTCTTTCTCTAGTGATTTTTCAATTTCAATTTGTTAATTATTATCATTTGGAGTTATATTGAAATATTCTGTAAATTTGAAAATAAAATAGAAATTTACATATATTAAGAAAAAAATTAAAATATATGAGATCTAATTGAAGCTAATAAAAAAAAATTAAGATAACAAAATTTGCCATTAAACCATGTCAGAAGTATAAATTTTATTTTCATCCCTAAAATTGTATAAAATATCTCAATATTATGCAAAAAGTATTAAAAAATAAAAAAAAATTGAAATCGATTAAAATTAAAAATAGAAAATCAATATAAATTTTATTTTTAATGAAATAAATATGATAAAATTTGAAAGGGTTATTTTAAAAAACAAATTCTCAAATTCTACCAACTTCTTACTTGACAACATCATATTTTTTTACCATAATTAAATAAAAATCTAGATCCAAATTAGTTTAACACCCCCTCTCTCTAGGTTTTTTTTAAATCAAAATATTCATCATTCCAATCCCTTTCAGCCATCACACTCTCTTTTTTATTTAACATTATCATCGAATAGTATATTTAATATGTACAAATAGTCACGCTCTAAGTGATGTCAAGATTGTCATAAACTCAAGCCATTATTCTAATCATATGGAATTTCAATTTTTTTTTCAAAATTATTGTTCAAGATTTTAATGGAAAGTTAGATAAAAAGCGTAAATATGATATATTAGTGATGTGATGTTAATACTGTTATTAAAAATATTTTTTTATCACATTTGTTTTTATCTTGATTTTATTTTTATATTGTCAAACGACTATTAGATAGTGTTGATGGAAAAAAAATCATATTTGTTTATTAATAAAAATGTCTTTCTCTAGTGATTTTTCAATTTCAATTTGTTAATTATTATCATTTGGAGTTATATTGAAATATTCTGTAAATTTATAAAATAAAATAGAAATTTACATATATTAACAAAAAAATTAAAATATATGAGATCTAATTGAAGATAATAATAAAAAAATTAAGATAACACAAAAACTTCAAGGCGGCATATTAAAATTTACCGAACAAATAAATTATTCGACGTCGTAAAGGAAAGAATCAATGAAAGGCTATCACGTCCTTCTAATTCTGACAATCATAGTGATAATCATGTCATAAGGACCCAGAATGATGAGTAGCAAGGCGGAATTGCAAACATACAAATCATGCTCGAGGTGTTTTTTCAATTACGAATTGTTAACTGGATATAATCCTTGCACCCCAAAAGTTTACTTAGTTCTCTGGAATCTTCTTTCAGATAAGAACTTCAATCTTCACCCTTTTATTTTTCAAAATAATTTACAAAGTTGAAATAGTTTTCAAATATACATACAATTGGCTTTACTTTTGGAGTAAGCTAAGGAATATTTAATATTTTACAAAATATGTGTGGTGAAGGATCGTGGTAAGTTTTTAAAAATTTATGAGTGAATCACATTACAATTAGTTATACAATAATTATTATACAGAATGTCTTAACTAATAAATTAACTATCACAAACTGTCACATTATTTAATTTAGCGTTATTATTCTCAGATAAATTAGTGGTTTTTTACTGGATGATAATTTTTTGCCTTTGTTTTATTGGGCTCAAAGAATTGAAATGTTTCAGCTTTTGGTAATGGATAGGGCCCTTCTGTTGATGTGTATCTTAAATTATATTCCTCAATCGTGCTTTTTATTAGAAGAAAGAAGATGGATATCCAATATAGAAATTTTTTTGTTTTGGGATCTTCATCACGAGAGAGGTGATATATTGATAAACAAGCATTAATTTATAGTTCAGATTAAAAATTAGATATTTATAATCAATATTTTGAGAAATAAATTTTTAGAATACTTGAAATCACAAAGACATTCTTATTACTTAAAAAAAAAAAATTGTCATTTGTTATTTTCTTTGTATGCATCAAATTTCTTGGACTCAATTACGTAAATGTTGTTCTATAAGCATATTCAACTAAATTAAAAATCGTACTAAATTTTAATTTTTATTAGTAAAATGAACCAAATCCCGATCAATTAATTTCATTGAAGCATTTACCAGTTCTTTAGTGGTTAAAAAAAAGTTTTAATCTTTAATACCTACTATCGTTTACTTAGCCAAACTCTCATCAAAAAACAAAATTGCCGAATAAATTTTATTTTTAAAATGCTATTTCATTAAAAAAATAAAAAGAAAATACCATATGATGAATGACTCACAACTCAATTTTACTAGGACATTGGAGTGTTTTTACTAATATGGCCTCCCTGAACATTCTGTAAAGCCTAATTAAATGGGGTTAGTTTAATGACCTTACATGAAAATTTGGACTGTTTTGCTTATCGTTCCTGCCCGTGCTTGCATAAAGGAATGACTTAGCTTTTCTTGTTTAATTGTTTTCTTTTTTCAATCCTGAGTTTATGCTCCTAATAAATACTATTAAATAACTCATTTCCTGATTCCAACGCTCTATTTTTATTCCCTTTATTTTGTTCTCGTAATTTAACAATGGATATTATCATTTCACCTCAGCTACAACAATGAAAAAAAATCTACTTTATTGTATATTTAAGTTTTGGATTAATACCCTCACCCGTTATTAGATAATAAACTAATTTTCTGATATATTCTCAAGAAAACGTCTTTAATATATAATTATATTTTTATCTAGTTTTTAATTAAAAATTTCAATAAAATTGAGTCAAATTAAGCATATGATTTATAAATAATATATAATTTGATAAAATTATCCTTTTTGTTTGACATATAACAACTAACATCAAGATTAATTTTTGAAAATTTATGATGAATTGTTATTTGAAGTAATCTAACCACCTCCCGCTATCATCAAATTTGGAGAAATTTTATAAAACTCAAGGTGTGGTTATTGTTATGTATAGTAGTTATTACATAAATTCACTTTGATAAGAGAGATAGACACATAAAAATGAGAGAGAATTACATGACCCATCGAAATGATAAAAAGATTTTCTTACTGGCTCAATGTTTTTTTTTAAAATTTTCTCTTTTTTGTTTCTCTCTTCTTTTTATATATCTATCTCTTGTCTTAAAATAGACCTATGAAGTAATTATTATACACACTATTAATTACTCGTTAAGCATTATAAAATTTGTAACCATTAAACCTTCCAATCTTAACTCTAGTGACCCAACGCACCACCCACATGAACCACTGGATTGTTATTTGAAGTGGATTTATATTTGATCTAGAGAGAGAAATTAAAGATCTTTAGAAAATCAGGTTGGTCAAGTTAAAATCAAAATATGCTTCATGGGAATAGGGATGATAATGGGTGGGTTATAAAACAGAGTATCCATTTTATTAAAAATCTCCAATATATATTGAAATGAATAAAAAAAAATACACATTTATTAATATAATTTTAAGATATGAATATCTATTTTTTATTTTATTAATATTCATTAATTTATTTATATTTTTTTATTAACATGTAGAGATCTAATTGTATAAAATTTAAAAATTAAGAATCAAAATATTTTTTCAAAAAAAATAAATAAAAAAAAACTTATAAATAAATGATCAAAATGTAAAAAAATTAAATTTTGAAGATATAAATATTTTTTAAAAAAATATAAGAACTAAAATAAATATTTTTGATAGATTAAATTCAACGAATATTTAATAAATATTAAATAAACGAATAAATTAGTATTAATTGGATATAAACTGAATTAAAAAATCATGTTATGATTTTTTAATAAATAAAATAAAAAATTAAATTAATGGATCGGCTGCTCAATTATCGCCATCCCAGACGGGGGATATGTGAAGTTCAATTTTTGTAACGGAGTTAAAAGAATCCCGTCTTCAGCAGAAGCAGCATGAGAATGGTTGAAATTAAGCTCACTCCACCTTTTCTTCTCTCTTCACTCAAATTAAAAGAAAATCATTGAATCCAAAATCAAAACCCAAATTGCTAACATAATAAAGATTGAAATTTCAAGGAGATGATATCGATTCTCCAAATCACAAAACCCTCTTTCCCTTATCTTCTGCCATAACCCCGCAAGGTACCACCGTGGACCCAAGAAAGCGGGAAAAAAAAACCCATCTTCTCTCTTATCTGCTTCGTGTATGGGTATTATGATTTTTGAAGCTTTTGTTCTGGGTTTGAATATTGGTGATGATCAAGTTATGACAAGTACTTTCTAATGCCTAAAATTTCAATTCTCTATTGCGACTGGAGAAGCCATAACTACTTTTTTCGATCTGCAACTCGCTCTTGATGTGAGTTTATCTCGAGCTCAATCAGAGACAAATTGCCTGCAATTGATTAACCAGGCAAATGGTTGCTTTGTCTGTCTGCTTTCTTCAGGTTTAAGGAAAAAACATATGAGACGAGAGATGTAAAGAAATTAGAGAAATTGATTAAGAGAAAGTGGAGAAATGAGAGAGAGAGAGAGAGAGAGAGAGAGAGTTTGTGTTTCCACACCTGGGATTTTTTTTTCCACGTGAAAAATTTGTCCAATGTGTCATGTTATTAAAAAAAAAAAAGAAGACTAGAAATCAGTTAGAAAAACCACATTGAAAAAAAATCAACAATAGAAAAACATGATGAATAAAAAAATAGATTAGGAATATAAAAACTATATATATGTGAAGAACAGAAGGAAGTTTTTGCTATTGATCCCATAAGGTAATTAATGAAATTATTGGCCATTTTATCATTAGATAGTCGGTAGAAGTCATGCTTGACTACGTTTCATCTACTCTATATAAAAGTTTCAAAATGTCTTGTCCAATTCATTTTAGCAGCCCATCCATCCCAAAATAATTTAGTCTTTGACAATACAGCAAATCGCCAGAACATCTCGAAACATCCCTGTCCTTTTATTGACAAAATAAACTAAAACTTGATCCTTTTTAGTTGTGGCTATAGAATAGATGCAATCAAAGGTTTAAAACGTCTTTATCGTATGTCATTTTGAGGTGTAAAGAGATTGTTTTTGATAAAAAAATTCAGGTTATTTTTTGAAAATATATTTTCTTTTTAGTCCTGGGAGTTTGAGATTTGCTTGGAATGGTCCATAAACTTCATTCATCTTGCAACTCGTTTCCTGAATGTAGTGTGTTTTGAGGTTTGAAATGGTTTTTAGTTCTTGAAGTGATTATAAAGTGTTTTCCATTAAAATGATGTGAAAAATGGTTGAGGGGACGAAAAACAGTGGCCCTCTCGTTTTCAATGGCAATCTGGTCACTAACTACAAAGCTACTGTTGCTGGTCGTCGTAGATGACGCATTTTACTCCTCCTTTTCCTTTTTTCCTTTTTCCCTTAAAAGCAGTTGGGCCGCGTGATTTTAGCCAGGCGCGTGCCCAAGCCCAGCTTTCTGGTTTGTTTGTTTTTTTCTTTGCTTTTATTTTTTTGTTATTTATTATTTTCATAATATCAAAAATTTTTAAATAGTTAATGGTTATTTTATATTTTTCATAAACCTTGCAAAATAATAATGATTATTTTTCATAATTTTGAATTTTTTTATTTTAAAATTTTAGTATACAAAATAATCATTATTGTCATAAATAATGATTGATTGCTTTTTTTTTTTTTTTTTTACAATGATAGAGGTTTGATAATTAATGATTAATCAATTTAGATGCATAGTTTTGAAAAAAATAGTAACAATGGCACTGAAACACAGTTGCCCGGACACCAATCCTTTTCTTAAAAAAATATTAGGACTAGGTACTTTAACTTTTAGAAGAAGAGATGGTGTAAATAATAATTAATAATTTTTTATATTTTTAGTTTATATTGACCTTTTGCTTCAAAATTGATCATGATTTTCCATCATGTAATAAATAATGTAATTCTTTGCTGTTGTTCAACAAACCTATTATTTTAAAATCGCATATACATATCAAATAATTCATTTCTTGATCTTTTCATTTTTTGTGTAAATTATAGTTAGATTTGGAGTGATGAAATTAATGTTAAGAATTATATCAATAGGGAATAAATAAATAAATATCAAGTTGAGAATAATGAGATTTTTTAATCATTAATTATGAACTAAATGATTATAATTAAGCATCCCTCCAACATAATCGATTATTGTCTTTTTTCAATCATTAACTCTTTTAATTAGATTTTTAGGTTACATAAATAATTGATTGATTGCATTTTTGTTTTTTTTTTCACTTATCAAAATAAAACATATTTAAAAAATATATTAAAAATATAAATACACCTGGTATTAAATACTATAAAATATAAATTAAATTAAAAAATTTCCGCAATTAATGGCGTTTGATTTTGATTTTATTCGCTTAGAGTTTCAGAATTGATTAAAAAATTAAAACAGATTTTGTGAGGTTACAAACAACGATGCAGGAGCCGAAACTAGTGCCAACTCAACGGACTGATATTAGGTTTAGTCACAATCACAAACGAAGAAATTTTTGATATTAGGTTTGGTCGCAATCGCAAACGAAGAAATTTTTGGCATTAGGTTTGGTCGACACTGGACTGGGTCAACCCAACCTTCATTTGAATGTTTGACCTTGCAGTCCAATCTCAGTTTTTACTGGCATCACTTCAAATAATTAACCAAAAAAAATAAAAAACAAATCAAAACGTTATTTTATTATTCATTAATACTGTTTTAAATATTATTTATATAAACTTATACATATTATTTTTTTTACTATGTAATATTTTTTTTAATTTTTAAATTCTTTTAAGATATTTATTATAAAAATTTTCGTAACATTTCATTTTGATTTTTTTACTTTTAAATATTTTTTATTAATTTTTTTTATTTTGATTTTTTTTATATTTTATTTTGATCTTTATTTTTTCTGTTGATTTTTTAATTAAAAATTTTAATGTAAAAAAAAATAATTTATAAAATAAATTTTTACTGTAAACATAAATAATGATAAATAAATAATATTTTTTAGTAAAAGATTTATAAAAATATAAAACAATAATTAATCTAATATAAAATTTTAAATAAAAAATTATAAAATTAAATAAATTATTAATTAATTTTAATTCGATATATTTTGATCGAATAATATAATACGAGAGATATAAAATTAAAATAATTTTTTAAAAATAATTTAGGTGTTCCGTTTGACCGTCAGCATAGCTATATAAAAAAGCTAATCATGGCCATTGCCAAATTTAATTTATTTTTTATAATTGAATTACGTAAACATGCTCAGCTTACTTTTTTTTCCGTAACAAACTGAAGTAAGCAATGGCTTAAGTCACCGTATCAATTAAACGACCGGACATAACTTCCCATCTTAATGACACAGCAAAAAGCCGATTTCCACCATCTCTTCCGATACAAAACAACCTCATCTCTTCATCCATAGAAAACAAGAACCCCACGCACCACACTCTTCCTCCTCCTCCTCCTCCTCCTCTCGATCAACCCAAAATCCAACATGGGATCAGCAGCAGCAGCAGACCTTTGCTCTGTCTTATCAGAATCACAACGTATAATAAACGCCCACTCCCGCCATTTCTTGGCTCTCTCTGTCCTCTTTATCCTCCCTCTTTCTTTCTCTCTTTCCGTCTACCCCACCATCCAAAACAAAATCTCTCAATCCTCCACTCTCAACACCAAAATCCTACTTTCTCATACTTTCTATCAAGATGACCTCCCAAATCTTTTCACTACAAATACCGTTATCCTTTCTCTTCTCCTTGTACTATTTTCCGTCACTTTCTCTCTTTTTGATACTGGTTCCATCACCTACAGTGTTATTCATGGATTCTACGGTAGACCTGTGAAGCTCTGGTCTTCAATCAAATCTGCTTTCACTTCTTTCTTTCCCCTTTTGATCACTATCTCTTTTGTTGAAATGATCTTTTTGGGGGTCCTTCTCCTTTTTGTGTCCTTCTTCTTTTTGGTGATATGTGGAATTCAGCTTCTTGGATTTGATGCTAATGTCTCTTCACCTTATTTTAATGTGTTTTGTGTGATTCTTGGGGTTGTTTTCGTCTTAGTTTTGGTTTATCTGCAATTGAATTGGGTTTTAGCTCCGGTGATTGTGGTTGCCGAATCAAGTTGGGGTCTTGAGCCATTGAGAAGGAGTAACTTCTTAATAAAAGGAATGAAAGGAGTGGCTTTGTCTATGTTTTTATTTTTTGAGTTTTTCTCTGGCTTGTTGGTAATTGCCGGTTTATTTCCTTGGGGAGGTTTGGATATTGATAATGTTGATAGTGCACGGAAGATTTGGCCTTTTGTTGTTCGAATAGTGGTGACTACAGCTCTCCAAATGATGTTGTTGCTTTACAATTTCGCGGCGTTTACTGTTCTTTACATGGATTGCAAGGCCGTACACGGAGAGCTTGTTTGGGAGATTGCTGAGGAGTTTGCTGGTGACTATGTCAGCTTGCCTTTTGATGATGGAAAGATCCCTCATTTTGTTTCTGTTGCTTATACTTGACTTGTGGTACTAAGGTTAGTGGCCTGGTAATGTCTTATGTTTGCTATACATGTTACTTAGTTTTCTTTCCTAGTTTATCAGAGTTTGTACTTGTATATTCATACTCAGTTCCGCGTGGATTATGCAATGAATATGAAACTTGTGTGTACCATCATCTTAAATAAGATTGTTTGAGTTGTTGATGCTTATGAGTGGAAATTATTATTGCTTTCTTTTTACACATGCTTGATTTGGCTAAATCTATGATGGAGAGTTAGCATTTCCATTTTTTAGTTGGAAAGGACTTGAATGGAGCAAATTGTGCATTTTGGATGCTGCACCTGCTTGAAATATTGTGACACAGGAGAATACTAACGAACGTGTATCAATTCTTCTTTTTATGATAGGTGAATTCATAGTTTTAAATCGGGAACGGTTCAAAAAACGGTGGCGGTTGTGGCTTACAATAACATTAAAATAACAATAATAAAATGCTTTGAAACCATTACATGACGACTTTTATATAATGTAATGACTGTTATTTAAACCCTGTGAATTCACAACCCAAAGAGTTCCAGTAAGGAAACATAATAATACCAGAATACAACAAAGAGTTCCAGATTGCAGTTTGTAGATGGTATACTGAGAGATAACCCATAAGTTGACTGCTGTGGTTAGAAAAATGTGAAATTTGTTTACATGAAACTTTAAAGATGCATATCGACTTGACAATGAAACATGAATTATCATATTTGAACTCAAAAATTTACCAGTAAAAACTGGCACTTTTAAAAGGCGTTGAGAATTCACTTTGGCAACCAAATTTGTGATATTAATGCACGAATGTTGTTCAAACACAAGCTGAGTAGAAAAAGGTGTTGATAAATCAGTATTGGAAACATTAGTTCGAGAAGGAAATTTGTCAATTTCAAACACAAGTTGAGTAGAAAACAATTTACTCCTTCAAATACTGTCAATAGTCAATGTTACTCGTTTTGCTCAAAATTGTATGGTACTGGCACACTGTGCATGCTGTATTGCTGTTTGGAAAATGGTTTTGGGCTTCTTTTATTTATCAAAACCACTGGCGGAAGATCGATAACTTTAATCTACATTGAACTTGAAAGATGCGTGCATCATTTCTCTGAGATTCAGGTGTATCAATGCCTCGTCAATTCACAAACGCAGTTAAGGAATAAGGTGCGGCTTAAAACTTTTTCACTAAATTTTGGTTTCTATAGTAAAGTGGTTAAGCAGTGGCAGCATTACTATCTGGTGGGATTGGTGATTGGAAAAGTTCACCATTTGTCTCCGAATTGCTATGACCTTTTAATTCCTGTTGCTTCATCTATGGTAGCATTTGTTTGATTTGTGCACCCCAAATACTGTTGTGCCTGAACGTGGAAGGTTTTATATGTTGGGAGCTAGGATAGAGATTGTAGGTGAGTTTGCTAGGTACCTAGGTTTGTGTTTGCTTCTGGCTTGATAGTTACAAAGACAGTTTGTTTCGGTTTTGGACAGTATTTGATGAAGAGGTTAGTGGGGTTTTTAGTTCTTGTAGGCATGTTCATTGCATCTGCTATTATCCAGTATTTTGGTTGATGTTGAAGCTGAATCTTTAGCTGTCTTGCTATCATTTACCAATTGTTAATGCATCTGAATTGGAAAGAAAAAAAAATGTTACATGCAAACCTAGTTACACTGGTTGAGTTCCATGCTTTTTTATTGGAAATTGAAATGCCCTGATTCTGTTCCGAGTCTAATATTTTTGTCACAGTTACGCTGATTGAGTTCCCTGCTTTTTTATTGGAAATTGAAATGCCCTAATTCTGTTCGAGTCTATAATTTTTGTCCATCTGTTCCATAGGAAGATAAAACTTGCTGATTTCAACGAAGTTTCTTCTTTTATATTGCGTAGCTATGATATTTTGCCTCAATTGGGTACTATCGACTCATGATGTCAAGTGCTATCTGAAACTCTAGTCACTATTTTTCAGTTTGGGATAGGGGTTTATCGACTCGTAGAATTTCGGCAGCTAAAGTTGAATGGGTTAGTACAACTTACGTTCTAATGGCAAAACCATCTATTGGTGCCTGCTTGATCAGTCCAGCTCCTTTGAAGACAACATAGCAACATGCAACTTCATTGAATCTAAGAGGGAATCCAAAAGGAAAACCTCAGTCCCTTGTTCCTTTAGCAAGAAGGCCAACTAGGTTGACTCAACGCTCCTTGGAAAGCTATTTTTGTGGCTGTTTAAGATTACAAAGCCACATTCCCCCCAGTCAAAATCTAGGTATCCAAGAAGCTGCTGTGCAAGTTTTCCACTCGCGACTTAGAACTGGTAAAATGGTAGCATTTTAGGGGTTCTGTATAGTTCTTCATGATTCAGCAATTGGATGCAGCAAGTTCCTATGGTTCACACATTACATAAATTAGTGGGTAGTGCATCATTCAACCTAAATTCAGTACACATTAATCATTAATTTCTTAGTCCAACCTGAACCAACACGAGTTCTACAAGAATATCATACAATGCAATTCAGCATAAAATTGTAACTTCCCCAAGCTTCGATAGAACCCGGAGAAACAATAGAGGTACTCTTTGTGGATGTTAAAGTAAAATCTTCAATAGAAACCATCCATGAGAGTCCATTTCCAACAAAGCCTCTACAAGAGAATACAGTTCAAGCATTATAAACAATACAAGATCAAATTTTTGGTACTGAATGCAACAGCTAGGGACCATCGGTTGCAATGAGAGCGCATGCAAAAAGCTTCAGTGTGGCTCAGAGAAACGCAAGTTCAACGACGTTTTTACAGCAGTGTCATCTCTTCTCGTGAGGCCTTGATTCCAGAATCCAAAGCCAAACACATAATCAATAGGTGGAGTGGCCAGTTCATTCTAAAGTACCTGAGCCAAAAATGAAAGAATGTTCAACTTATCCCCACAGAAATCAGAAGGAACCAAACTTCACTGGGTCATTGTCAAAGTTTTCTATTGTTAGCCTGGCTGGACGAAGATGATGCTTTCAATCTAAAGACACTCTCATCCTGATCAGCACGGAAGAGAAGGTTACTCCAGTTATTTGACCTATCAGCAATCCTGGAAGGAACCCTGTCACTATCTTCCCCACCAGAAGCTTCATACCCATCACTAGTAGACCTTGAAAGTGGGAATACATTGTGAGAAACGGCACCAGCTATTGATAAACCTGTGAGACGCCTTGACTCTTCAGCTCCTGATGAGGAAACCCGGAAAGGGTGGATATCTGGGGAGTCTAAACTGCTCTCAGGAGAAGAAGCAACAACCCCAGCTGAGCTTGACATTGCTCGGCTTGTTTGGAAAGCACTACGGGCCTCAAGCTGAAGAGGAGCCAAGCTTGTAGATGTCTCAGTGAAACCTTTTTCAGGAGCTATACCTGAAGCCTTAGTAACAGACTCCATGGGTAAGTCAGCTGGAAAGCGTATTCGCTTACTAGATCTCCTTCTATTACTGTCAATCCTTGGGACCATCCGACGGCCACTGCTGCCAAAGCTGCTATCTATGTCTAGCCCAAAAGGGGGTTCACGTCTCGTCACAGGCTGCAGGATTTTGGACTTTTTCTCGCCTCTGCTGCAGCTCTCGAAACCTCTTCTGCATTTAATCTGGCCAGTGTCCAAGGACTGATCTTTACTGCCGCTGGGTTCTTTTTCTTGATTGGTTCTTCTCCAATAGTCTTCTTTCCTAATGAGCTGACAGATCCAGTCTCAGGAGGAACAACATCAAACTGAAAGAAAAAGAAAAGAAAAATTTCAGTAGCATCAAAAAATTTAGCAGTGTTGTTAAGAGTGTGTACAAGAGTGTGTACCATCGCCTAAGTGCAAAGCATCTAGAAAATACAACAGAAAAAATCTTAAAAATGAAACACAAGCTAGTAGTCTGCCTATTAGTTCAAAAGGAGGAGTGAATTTTGCAATTGTATCAAGGTTGTATGTGTAAATGTTAAATAGGCTATTAAAATCTTGTAAAATTCATTAACTAAATATTATCATTAACCAAATGAAACTGCAAATGCTGAAGTTATTGTCCCTCTTACAATTCATGGATTCACAATCACATAAATATCCCGAGCAGAAGAATGGAACAGTAAAAATTACCTGATCTTCCAGAAAAAGGCGAGGTGGTGTGCACCAAGCACCCCGGTGAAAAGTAGAAAATGAGCTTGCACTGCTTAATCCAGTAAGTGAACTGGCAGGAGACATTTGAGCACTCTGCTGTCCCTCCACACCTTGTTGCTCTTGTTCCTGCTCCCTTAGAGCTATTATGTAATCATAAGTGCTGATTCCCTGGGACGTGCAGAAATCATGTTCTAATAGATAATCACAACTTTGTATAAAAACAAATGAGATCAAAACAATAGTAAGAGGTACCAAAAAAAAAAAAAAAAAACTAAGTTCTGTATCAAGATTAAATACTATTCAGTTGAATAATAAAACAATATAAGTAAGCCTAATTTGAAGAAACAAATGATAGGCATCATTACCTTTTTTATCAGGAGGATATGAAAGAAGAAAAGCTGGGCAAGAGGTAGGGTTGCAATCATAGCCAAAATGGTGCACACCGACTACAAGAACGTACACATTCTTTTAGTTTAATGCAGAGAAACGGAGCAGCACAAATAACAGTGAATCATTTAGCTTCTTCTTTTAACAGGTTTGCGAGTTTGCAAATGGTTAAAGAGCATTAAAGCCAAAAAATTAATTACCCAAGAAAAGGCAGGGTTACACTGACAGCAAAACAACATTAGAGCACTCACCAACACAATAACAAAGGGGACCAAAGAGAAACTGCTTCCCAGTTTGGCAGAGATATCCACAGAGAATCGTTTCCGTTCAATAAAACAGCAGATAAGTACAAGGATTCCAGTCGACCATTGTAGAACAAGCTGCAATCTCAAGCCCATGGTATAAACCATGTATATACCTGTCAATAGTCAATTACATCGAAAATGACTTGAAAATGAAAGGCTTACTCTGGGGAATCTTCAGTAATGGAGGTTGCGTTGTGGGAATCATAGTAGAAAGTTTAGGACGTCAAAACTTGTTTTATACCAGGAATGATTCAAGAGTCTCAGACATGATTCAAAAATTATGGAGGTCAATGGAATGTGACAAACAAACAATTATGCGGAGCAGCCAATGGACTCTAGAGGGAAAAAAAATTCCCAACTGTCTTGGAATCAAATGAAACCGTTTTCAAAAGATATTGTTCGTGCATGGACAGATTATGAACTACGGAATTATAGGCAACAACATTGTCAGGAGTCAGGATGATTGAGATCAAAGAACTTGCATAGGGAAGAATGGAAAGAATTCAAGAATTAAGATATGGAAAATCCTATAAGCTTTCAGAGGCTGGGGATTACAGGGTATTGATGCAGTTTGACCATTTGAAGATTCCAGGTAAGACACGATGTGGAGGCTTAGGCTTACCAGGAGTAGAGAAGAAACCATAAGCATGAAAAACTGTCTGTAGTTCTTCTTGCCTATGCAGTTGTTAAGCCACTGCAAAAGTGAAGGATCAAATGAACATGAGGATGATAAAATGAAAATGAAAAATTTCAAACAAACAAGAACTCTCATTACCCTGCAATGATGATCAAAACGATCAACACATTTGTCACATACTCTACAGTGCTTGCTGTACTTGAAAACCTGGACAGGATCATAATTTCATAAGCAGAAACTTTCATGGACTGTCAACACAAAAGTAGTATCATATAACTTTAGATGGAACTCAAGAGGTGTGGAATGGCTGTTAGCTTTTTAGCCTTGTGCAGGTTGAATGTATAAGATGACTTCTTTTTTAAAGCACTTGTCCTCAGAAAAAACCCAAAAATTGAAAAAGTTATGCTACAATATTAAAATCATAATTCTTGAGAGAGTCAAACTATTTATTTCAACTAAGTCACTGTACATCTATGAACTCTACTGAAAAATTCAAATATAAGTGAAAAGGCTACTGAGTTCAAGCACTCCTACCAACCTCAACTTCACACAAACTGCAATAGAACATGCCATCTTCACTCATCTGTAGCTCAGAAGATTCATCGCTCGAACTGCAGCGATTACAGATAAAAGCACAAGGAAAGAAAACCCACTGAAAACAAGATGAATTCCCTGATGGCACCTTCTCAATTTGAGTATTGGATTCTTTAAAAGTCGCATCTGCACCCAACACCTCTTTATCCAGAGATTTTCCTCCAACTGTAGAAGCATTTGCATCATGTATTGATGAAGTTGACCCTCCACCGATTTTCGAATCCTTCTCTGGGTTATGCTTTTCGCTGTCCGGAATCTTGAGATACTTTTTAGATCTAAAAACCCCAGGGTCTGCAGGATCAGCAGCTGCACACCAAATATATAGGCCAAAGGCACAGGTAATCTGAAAAGCAAAAGGAGATGTTACTAAAGTGCCAACTAGAGGTGAGCACACATCTAACAAAACCAGCATAAGAAACAATGGTTGAGAAGTCATGTATTTTACATTTATGTAGACCTGTATTTGTCGTCACTAATAAAAAAGACTGAAAACAGATGCACGTTCAGTGCATAAAAATGGCTAACTCGTCACGATTTGCATAATTGAAAATTTAGAACTGTAGCATGACTCATATGTTAGACGATTACTTTTTTGCTCGGACAAAACAAATGATCATTTTGAGATCACATTTACAGTAAAATGCAAAGTGTTCCAAATCTATCACCAAGTCCAATGATGTCTATTTGACTAGCATGGGCTAGCATGTCAAATATAAATATATTGATACCAGTGTCACTACCTATCAACTTCTCATCCAAAATTCAATCAATCAGAAACATCTCAAGCTAGGGGGTACAATGAATCATGTAAGTGAAGTTGTTTGTTAAACACAGAATTAGGTAACCTGAAAATGCCATGAACTACTCAAATCCTGCCCAATTTTGTATTTTGGCAATTAACCGCTATCAGTATCTATCAGTATCATCATCCATATGTGTCTTGGCAGAGTACAAAGCTTGTTAGTTGTCTATTCAGTACTTAGCAATAAAATGTCTGACTATATAACACTCCTTTCATATTCTGCAATGATGGTGATATGTTTGCCTGGATTCCCAGGACCATGAAAAGATAGAGTAATGAAATTAATTAATGGATATGTAAGTTCCACAATAATCCAGAATTTTTTATTTTTATTTTCTGAAAACAAAAAAAGAGCATGCGTTGAAGGGCATTTTGACCGTTTGAGAAAATCCACACAAAAAAGTAAAAAAGATGCCAGGTGATTAAGCAATTATATTCTAACAAGAAAATTTAGTTTTATACTGCATCCATTGGATAACCGCAATTAATAGCATACTGTATCAAACATCTACAATTTGTTAACAAGGCATATGCTAAGGGCTAGCATTCACGGGGAAATCAATGGTATAACGTTTTTGTGCCAAAAAGTGACAGAATTTTGATCTTCAGTGGATCAAATTTGCGATTAATGTGTTATGGTTTTAGGTAACAGATACAGGGACCGAAGGACATCGAACTCAATCACATTTATCAACCAAAGTAACAGATGCTTAGTATTTTTGAAAGGATCTATAGATAAAAGACACCCAAAAACAGAACAACACAGAAGGAAACCAGAAAGCTAAGAGCTTTAGAACCAAGCAGAGGAAAAACAGATCTCAGTTATTAGCCCGCTAAAAAATATGAAAGTAGTATAAATCATATATACAAAAACTACTAAATGGAAATGTGTGAATTTGCTTACCAGAGGAGTGTAGATTCCCATTGCTATATATTGAAACAACTTCTTCCCAACAAAAGGAGCAAAGAACACATAAAAAGCAAACCCCAACGCCAGAAATACAGCAACAGCCACCACCTTCACATTGAACACTCAAGATCAAAACTTTCAAGCAATAAATACTGGAAAAATAACACAAAAAAAGGAAAAATAAAATAAAAATGAAGTACCTGAAGAGGGTGATAAGGAAGTTTCCATCCATGTTTTCTCATTTTTTGCCAAAATGCAGCAACCAAACGCAAAAAAGAAAAAATATGTATACAAGATAAAAGAAGAAAAAGAATGGAAAAACAAAAGGAATGACTTGGGTTTTACTTATTTTCTTTCACTTTCCCTCATCTCTTAGTAAAAAAGCTACTTTAAAATATCTCATTCCACCGCATTACCAGCCAAAACAAGGTTATTACATGATCATCATTCTTAGGAGTCTAATCAAACAAAGAGAGAAATTAGGGAGAGAAAAAAGGCAAAACAAAAAGAGCTGGAGGTTGAAGATATGACTAGTATGGTGTGTTGGGTGGTGCAGAGGAATAGACAGAGAGGAAACTTTGTCTAGTTCACTCAATCATTCATAGCCTAAGGTCATGGAATGGAAGGTGAGAGATAAAAATAAAAATAAAAATAAAAAAGAGAGAGAGAGAGAAGAGAAAAGAGTGTGGCTAGGCCTGGTTTAGGATTTAGGTTTTTCTTTCTTTGTTTGTATATTCAGGCAAAGCTATTCACTTTGAGCAAAAAACAAAGATCTGTGACGGTAAGAGAGAGAGAGAGAAACAGCATAGAGGTCTGGTTTTCTTTTCATGCCTATAATTACCTTGCAACCTCCCTTTAACTTTTTTCTTGTTTCTAGCGTTGCCTTTTTCCTGGCGAAATCATGTGTCAAAGGCTAGTGCAACAGACAGTTGTTTGGTTTCACTTTTGTAATTGCCACCAACCTCTCGTCTCTTTTAAATGTTGAACAGTAACACCCCATTGTACCTTATCTTATTGTGGTCATTGCTAATTTTTCTGTGATAATTTGTTATATATTTGCTTATGCACTTATGCAAGTTTTTTTTTTTTTGGTATTTATGGAAAACACTGGCAGAGAAGATGGCCCGCATCTTTTGTAGAAAGGAATAGTACATTGGGCAACAAAATGTAGGGAATTGAGAACCCCTCCCTCAAACCCCACTTCTTCAATGGCATTTCTCCCTTACAAGCTCCTGTATCTATCATTACCCTCTTGGCATGCTTTTTGGCTGATAACTCATCTGGAAGAATTAAGACAAATACCTACTATATTTATTGTTCTTTCTTAGTTACTGATATAAATGGAGGGTTGATTCCTTAATCAAGATGAAGTTTGAAGCTAGTGCCAGAGCGCATGTGTTGAGAATCTGTTCCCTATTATATCAAGGTTGTTGAGTTTTGCAATTGACAAGAGCCCAAATTGGTGAATATTTTTATCTTCTCTCTGTTCCGTTGTATGGTGTCATCTATTCAAGAACAGATCTTGAACCAAAAAAAAAAAAAAAAAACAAGATTACTGTACAGGCCAACACAAATTGTTCATGCGGTGCACTGTTGAGTGTTAACTACCGATCCCCACCAAAAAAAAAAAAAAAAAAGCTTTAACTACCAATCATGTTTTCAGTAATAAGGAAAGGCCAAGATGGTCGCAATCGACTAGCATGACATAAGGTTAATCGAAAAAGCTTGAAAAACACTTGTGCAAAAAGTCAAAAAGGCTACACCATATGGTTGCTTCACAATGTAACCAAAGAAAAATAGAGAACAACAGAATAAAATACGAGCGCCACAATTGAAACCGAAAAATGAAAAGGTTCACGTAACAAAACAAACGGAACAGGTGAAAAATCATAAAAAAAGGGGGGGTGGTTTGGTCAAGTATTCCATGGTCTTGTAAATTTATAACAAATACTACCACCGAAGACAATGTTGGAGGAAGGAGAGCGACCCAACAATGAGAGAGAGAGAGAGAGAGAGAGAGGCAGTAGGGAGCATAGTGTCTACGGCAGGGATTATTTTTGGGGTTTTGCAAAGCTTGGAAGATGCAATTGGCATTTTCTTGTCAGGTTTTGGACTCGATGAGCAAAGTAAAACATACATCAACTAATGCGCAAGTAGTTACTAAAATATTGTAGTAAATGACAAGAAGATTATTCCGTGTGCCGCGAATATACGTACATGCGCATCATCAGCATTCTAATACCAAAATTTCTCGTATCAGTATGTGATTAAAAGGCTTACAGTTTCAGTAACCAGCAAAAAAAAAAAACAAAAACAATATATATATGATCGTGATGCAGTGGGTTGGTGATTATCATCATTACAATCATCATCACTGTCTCCACATAACATCAAGACATGAAACTCAATTAGATCGAACTACATCCTATATAGTTTAAATTGAAGAGCACGGACAGCTTAGCTACATGCCACCAAAATCAGACAGAAAAAAACCCAACTATAGCATTGCTAGTGCGTGAATTTTGAAAAAAGAGGAGATAAAACAAGGAATTTGAGAACGGCGTTTCCGTAGAATTAATTAATAGAGTACTGGAGAGAGAAGGCGGAGGTGCGTAGCTCGACTGCATTAATTTCTTTGGATCTCAATCTGTCGTTCCTCAAAAGACACGTACTTTCCAAGCCCCACCTCTTTCTGCTTCACAGCACAGGTCCCCACAAATACTCCCATACCATATCCAATCGACTGTCAAACTTGTGGTTGACCCAACAGCAAATTTTCAAATTAAATATGAGTAGGACAGTATTTGATTGTAATGGCAAGGTGATGGTGATCTAACGGTGAGATTTGTTCCGAAAAAATAATCTGATGTTTGAGACATGAACATGAGCGAACATACGCCCATGTTGACGGTTGCACAGACTTCTCTGGCTGTAGGTTCATTTCGTACAAATCTTTTGCGACTACGTTCTGAAGGGTACCTCTTACTTTTCGGCTTTTACCATACAATAATTACAACGAATTGGGTTTCACAAGATCATGGGCCTTAACTTGATACAGTACTCAGAATACCGGTTATTAGGTCTATCAAGGGTCCAGGGCATATCCCAATTTTTGAGAGCCTGCGGTGGGTTCAGGGTTGTGCTCCTAGCGCATTCATCTTGGAACTTCTTGTTATTGATTCACAGCTTAAAAGGTCAAATGTGTCCCAACTTTGATTTAATTAAAAATCAGTTTTAAAACTTTTAATTTTAAGTTTTACCTCCTTTGAATTTATTTTTTTAAGATTTAATTTATATTTTAGCCTTTTTTATTGAAAATAATGGTTACATAAATAGTTTTATGATAAAAATCATTTAGTAAGATTTATTTGGACTTTTAAAAAAAAATTGAAATCATTATGAGTTATTTTCTATGTTTTAATGTTTAAAAATATATATATATTTTTCAATATTGAAAATGTTTGAGATTTTTTAATAAATTGATTGAATGTTTTCCAATGTGCATGCCAAATATCATCTCAAAATACAAAAATATTGATTTTTTTAGAATAGGTTGATAGTTGGAAATTGACTAGATCTTTTTTTTTTTTTTTTTTCAGAAAGAGTCAAATTCAAAATTAAAAGTTTAATGAGTAATTTTTAAATAAATTAAAATTCAAGAGAAGTTTGACCCATTTAATCTTGATTTGTTATGAAAACGTTAAAGTGTTATTTTGACCTTGTATTATGCTTTTGACTCAATTATTACAGTTCAAATTTTTTTTATTAAAAGATAACAAAAATAAAAATTTCATGATTCTTTTAACTGTTATAATAACGGAAGAGGTGGATTTTTTTTTTTTTTAGAGAAAGATATTCAAACTCAAGGCATTTTAAGAAAACTAATGTCAATTGAGTTATAGTTTATTGAAATGTATACTTATTTTCTGTAAAAGAAAGCTCAAGAAACGAAACCAGAAATTTTGAATTGGACGAGCCATTAAAAATTAAGTTCTTTTCTAGATGCACAGAACATGCATTTCCTATAGAAAATAATTTAAAATTGAACAGTATGGTTAAAAAAATTTGAAACTTGAAATATAAAATTTTCCAAAATTTGTGAGCGTCATGACCCTTTCAAGTTCCACCACCATACCAACTTTCCTTATGCCCTTGCAGGAGATAGTTTGAGGATACAACTAGCCATGAAACCAAAATTGAAGTGATTTTGTATGGAAATTTCTTAATAGCTGATTGACACGTTGATTAGTAGATTGGTCAAAATATCGAGAGTTAATATTATGATTTGTAGAAACAATTTTCAATTAACAAAGTAAAAGATGTAAGTAATCGAGGCATGAAATGAGTAAATAGTACTAAAGAAGCTCGAGTTGAATGATATGTAAGTGGATGGTCAAAATCCAAAAAAAAAAAAAGGGAGTTTTAAATATTATATAATAACTGAATAAGAGGTTTTCAAAAGAAATGGGTGAGATATTTTTTGTTAGAGATCCAAAAAGTATAATTCATTTAGAGTGATGTGAGGTTTATATCTATAGAAATTAAAGATGGCTTTTGATCATTAAGTTTATTCCACATCATCCATATTTAGTTGGTGAGATTTAAATTAAAAAAGGTTAGGTTTTTTTTTATTAAACTACTTCAACTTATGAATAAATGCTAAAAAAATAACAATTGAATATTCTTTTAGCGAATCTTACTCCGAGTCCACCAAACTAATCACTTAAATACATCCAAATGACAAAGCATGGATGTTGAATTTGTCAAAATACTTGAGTCTATCGTTACGTAACTTAAAAGCTTATGCTAGACAATATCTATTATTAATCTAATCTATTTGTTTTGTAGCTTAGACCTATGCAGAAATCAAGAAAAATAACACGAATTAGTACATAATAAAATCAACTAAATTCTTAATTATTTTTTTATTAATTAATTGAACATATAGATTTAACTTCCAAAACAAGTAACCATGCTAGCAAGAGTGTTTGTGCAATCAATATTAGTGAGATGTAGAAAATTAGAGCTAGAAAAAAATAATCTGATAATGATTGTAGTAGAATTGGCATGAGTCTCTTATTTATATCAAATAAGTAATAAAATATGTGATGAGCTAGCCATGAGCCTTTCGATGCATAAAAAAAAATAATAAGAGTTTAAAAGCAAGAGAATCGCAAAATTTATGAGGCTGTCTATGACATAGACTAGAAAAGTTTATTTCATACTTT